TGGGACATGCGCTGTGCTGAAGCAGGGATGTGGTCCCCTTATTTAGTGGCACGGAGCCATGAACTTCAGGCTCTGCGACTGGAGCTCTGTCTGCTTTGGATTATGATGCTGGCTCCCTTATCGTTGTCAAAGGGTGTCATTCATGTTTACCGTCAAGATGTCTATCAGCAGAGTGCTTCTCGGACCTCTGGTTTTGTTTCTTTGATGATGAGGAGTTTGGAAATCAGACAACTCAGCCTAAGGGCAGAGTCAGGGGCTCTGAGCAAGGGGCTAAGGGGCTCTCTGAGGAAAGAGGCTGAGTTTTAGTTACGGTCTCTGTGGCATTTTTACTGCCCAGCTGAAGCCTTTTTTGCTTGCTCTGCAGTTCTAGGCTCTGGTCTAGAACAGGATAGGTTGACAGATAAGTTTGGTGTCTAAAGTCATGGTATCACTGAAACTTCATACAATCAGAATTTAGTTTTATACTTCATGCAGAGAAAAAAATCTCAGCATTTTCATCACTGACTATACTAAGCTCTATGTATCACTCACTGCATTATAGTACAGTATTAAATCTGAGATCATCCACAATCCACCCTCATGCCCTGTGAAAAAGCACAAAGGTACGGATCACGACATAAGCTGCCATGGATGCAGAACCTGAATCTAAATATGAGGAACCATCACAACCATACTCAGAAACATTGTATAACACCACTGACATTTCTGAAAAATACAAGTCAATGTCATGAAAGACAAAGAAAGGCTGAGGGACAATCTGATTAAAGGAGACTGAAGAGATAAAATCAATCAATGCTATACCTACTCCTGAACTTGATCCTGCTATAAAAGGACACTGGGGGTCTAATGAGAAAACTGGAATATGGACTGTGGGTGAGATAAAAGTATCGTATCAATATTAAGTTTCCTGAGTTTGATAACTGTACAGTGGTCACTTAAGAGAATATCCTTATTTTTAGGAAATACTTAAGGAAGTATTAAGAGGCAGAAAGACATGAAAAAGGTAACTGACTCAGAGAAGTGACATGTACTAAAAAATACAGCGCATTCTCCTGATCAGCAGTTACAGCCACTTTTATTGCCTGCCTGCCGCACTGCAGGTTAATTTAGCTAGAGGCAACAGTTGTGCTAATTGCCTTGTATCCTCTTTCTTGATTTTTACCAGCTTTCCTAGAACTCTTACACAAGACTCAATGTATAATTCTGATTTTTGTGACTTTAAGCTCACCAGCTTCTAATTCCAACAGAAAACCTATCTGGCTCTTATATAGGCAACTGCTTCAGTTATATGTGACTTTTTCTAAAAGCATTGATTACCATCTGCAGAATTTCTGTGTACTAAGCCAATATAATGAATTCTTAGTTAGCAGTGATTGGCCTTTCTCTTTCAGGACTCCCTGAAGGCTGTGTCCATGGAAACATGTTCTATCAGTGTCTTCTTCAGTCCAGTTGAACTGAAAACTTGAAGGGCTTTTTTTTCCAGCAGTTGCTGTTGAATCAACCAGTGTGCTAAATTGTTTCTGCAGATTCACCACCATTTCTGGAAATGAAGAAAAAAAGGAAACAAAATAACAAGTTATATTAAATCACAAATAAAGCCTGGAATTTACTTGATAAGAATGTACCAATATTGGTTCCTTAGTTTTGGCAAATGTACCACCGTAATGTAACAGGATAACTTTAAGAGAAAATGAAACTGGATGAGGTGCATGTGGAAAACTACTTCAAAAAGAATGTACAATCCAAAAAGAATTCTATAAGCAAAGAATTCCCAAAATCAGAACGATTTAGGATTTTAGATTTTGGCAGGAACTGAGGCTCTGTTTTGAAGAACGGCATGTTCCTGAAGTAGATTCCTGCAGAGATTGCTTGCAGAGCATGATGCTCCTTTGGATGTATACGTGCCCCGGAACATTTGTTTAAAAAAAGTAAAAAACTTAAGCATTCAACATTTCAAGTCCAGATATTTAATTTTTCTACAATTGTGTTGCTACTTGGTATTAAGACAAAACTGGACTCACCTCTTTTTTTATACGCTACTGGTTTGTCGACAAACGAGTAGTAGAGTGGCTTTTCACTTTTCCACAGGTACCTGTACATGGTAAAGAAACAGCTGGAGCAGGATGGAGATGAAACGGACATAAACACATTGTCTGAAGCACTATCTGAGATTTCCAATATTTTGTTACAGTTCTGGCTTAAAATGGCTTATTGGCACATGTCTATATTGTCTATTGAACTTAGGCCCTAGAAGGAAGCACTGACTGAGAGCCCAGGCCAAGAGAATGGTGTGCTCCTCTCAAAAGCTGCCCAGATGCCGTGACATCTCGAAGAAGCTATTAATTATACAAAAAACATAGAAACAGTTTCCTTCACCATAAATTTCCCTTGCTGCTCATTCTCATAAAGTGAAGCCACCTCAAAACAACTGTTCCTCATTGCCTTTGCCCCAATGCCTTTTTGCTGAGAGTTGTTAGTAGTACTTCTGAATAACTTACACAGAGTGAACAGTAAATGCATCTCTCTGGCACCTGATGCCAGGAAATCTATTCTACTCCTGGCGTAAAGGAGAGGAAGAGACTGGATTCCAGGATGACACAGTCCCAACAGTCCCTGTCCTGACTCAGCCTATTCTTGCCAAGGGAAGGGCAGCCAGGGAGATCCCCATGTAAAATGGGGATCCTGGATTGCTCTGGCTCTTGGGGTTCCCTCCAGGACAAACACTAAGAGCCACCTAAGGTTCCTACAGATTAGGGTGATCAGTTCTAGACTCCAAAAGGAAGTGACATGTTCTATTTCTGGTTCTAGTGGTTGTTGCTAAACTTTGCCAAGGAGACACTGCAGCTCTGCAACAAAGATAACCATGTTCATTCTTAGTCTCATTTTCATTATTTCTGTGTTCCCTAGTGCAGAGGACTTTCATAACTTATAATAATAAAAAAAAATCCACCTTCTTCTTGATCCCAGGCCATTTTCTTATTTTGAAAGACACTGTGGCAACAAGAAAGAGTACTGAATCAGAAGACCTGGCCCACCACTTTCTAGTGGTAGAGCTAGCATAATCTGAACGACAAATTATGGAGGCTCTCAAAGGCAGAGACTGTCTCAGCCATCCTTATGCCCCTAGTGTTGTCAGGGAATGGTAGATAGTAGGAACTCATTTAAACATTTGTTGAAGAATAACTGGATGAATAAATGAACAAAGAAATGAATTTAGCATCTCTAAACTCATCCTCTACTTTCACAGGGTTATTCTGAGGAATAAGATAATGTATATATGGGTTCTTTAAATCCTATACAATAATTAGAATTATTATTTAGTACTTGACAAAGTGCCTGGCTAGCAGATACTCAAGAAATATCTGTGAACTTTCCAGAAAAAAAGATTAAAAATAGGAAGCCAGAAATACAAATATTTTAAACATCTGTAGTATCTGTAATAATTTCTCACCATTTATTTTTAATACTAGGAAGTAATACGTATATAAAAGTACACATTTTAACAATATTTTAGTAATATCATTTAGCAAATAATCATTTTAACCAATTTAAGAACTGATTTTTTTCAAGAATTTTTAAAAATACTTGATCAAGTCAGTAAAATCATGACTATATATAAAACAGATGTTGACTTTTTATTTTGAATTTCTGTAATGATATTAAATGTTAAGAACAGAAAGGAGTCGGGTGCGGTGGTTCACGCCTGTAATCCCAGCACTTTGGCAGGCTGAGGCGGGAGGATTGCCTGAGGTTGGGACTTTGAGACCAGCCTGTCCAACATGGAGAAACCCCGTCTCTTTAGTAAATACAAAATTAGCCGGGCGTGGTGGCGCATGCCTGTAATCTCAGCTACTTGGGAGGCTGAGGCAGAAGAATCGCTTGAACCCGGGAGGCGGAGGTTGCGGTGAGCTGAGATCGTGTCATTGCACTCCAGACGGGGCAACAAGAGTAAGAGTGAAACTCCGTCTCACAAAAAAAAAAAAAAAAGAACAGAAAAGTAATTTTTCTAATCATTAGGTAGCAGTAGAGATGTAATTAATGTTATACAGGAGATGGTTTCCTGAAAATTATGTGAAATTAAACTTTAGCGAACCACATCACATTTAAAATATATCAGAGAGTTTGTCATTTAACGTTATGGTAAATGAGTCAGCGATTCTTTAAAATATATTTTTTGCTATTAATTTTCTTAAATAATAAAATCTCAAAGGATAAAGAATTTCCCTAAACAGACTAATCCCAATCCCTGGGCACACTCACTGCTAAACATTCCTTGTGAATACCTAATCTAAATAGAAGTTTCTCATGTGTTTACAGTAAATGCCTATACAAGTGGCAATCATGCCGTGAATCAAGAGAGCAGTATTATGTCCTTGGGGGGCATGCTCCAAGAATGGGAAGGGTGATCTAAAATAAAACTACGCTAAGTGTTTAGAGACCTGAAATGAAAGCTTCTTCCAAAATTGACTTTACCTTGCCTGCCTTTTCTCATTACATAAAACTACAAAAAGAGACACACCACAAACCATGTTTTCCAGCTAGATGTTATCCATATACTTCTCTCGTCTGTCTGCATGTCATGTTTCCTCATTTTTAAAAATTAAGGTATAATTTACATTCAGTAAAATTTACTCTTTTCAGTGTAGTTCTGCTAGCATTGACAAACACATACAGTTGCACGTGTGTATTCACTACAATTACTATGCAGAACAATTCCATCACTCCAAAATACCTCCCACATCCCTTGACAGTCAATCCTTGATCTCAGGCAACTACTAGTCTGTTTTTCTGTCCCTATACTTTAGCCTTTTCCAGAATGTTATATAAATGGAATCAGCATAAGTAACCTTTTGAGTCTTTCACGTAGCATAATGCATTTAAGATTCACTCATATTGCTGGATGCATCAGAAGTCTGTACTGTATGGATAGAACACAGTTTATCCAGTCACCAGTTGAAGAACACGTGGTTTGTTGCCAGTTTTTGGCAATTATGAACGAAACCATTAGAAACATTCCTACGCAGATTTTTGTGTGAGCTTGTTTTCATTTCACTAGGGTAAATATCTAGGAGTGAAAAACACTGGATAACATAATAAATGTATGTTTAACTCTGAGAAACTGCCAACTTTTCAAAATAGCTGTACCATTTTGAATTCCTACACTTGGAATGATCAGTTTTTGTTTTTGTTTTGTTTTGAACCATTCTAATTGGTATATAATGATATGTCATTGTCATTTTAATTTGCATTTCCCTATTAATGATGTTAAACATCTTTTCACATGTCATCTTGATATCATCTTTGGTAAAACGTCTTTTCAAATATTTTGCCCATTTAAAAAAATGGAGTTTTTTTCTTATTGCCTAATAATTGCCTAATAATAATAATAGATACAAATATTTTATCGGATATGTGATTTACATTTAATTTCTCCTAGTCTGTAGCTTCTTATTCTTTTAAGTGTCTTTTGTGGAGCAGAGGTTCTTACTTCTGATGAAGTCCAATTTACCAATTTTTTTTCTTTTATAGATCATGCTTTTGGTGTCACATCTAAGAAATTTCTGCCTAATCCAAAAGGTAAGGCAAAAATTAGCAGGTGAATGCAAATTAAAACCACAATGAGATATCACTATACACCAATTAGGGCATAGAGATTTTCTGCACAGGCTTAATTTTTCTCCATGTTCTCAACGTCTTCTGTAACAGCTAGAAGTCATCAAAGCAGCCTCTTATGCTGTTTTAGGCTTTCAACTATTGTTTATTAGTGTTTTTCATAACGTCATGCATAGGAACCCATGCTTAGATATAGAAAATGTTTTAATAATTTTCATCTGACAATATGAATGATAATATTCAGAGAAACAGAGAAAAATTGGAAATTTATGTCAACATGGGGGTGGGGAAGGGTGAAACCGACAGGTGACCATTATGCATCAGAGCTCTGTGCCTGAGCAGCAGTTGGTAGTGCTTCGCATATTACTCAGCAGTAACTCACACTGCACGTGGGTGTCAGCCCTCAGCACATACTCTAGGAGGAAGGACCTTGGAAAGGGGTCCCCTTGACAGCCTCCACCGTGGGGCCTGGTACTCCCTGGAAAGTGCCATTTTATAACCAGACTTACTTTCTTTGGCCGATAAATTATTCCCTAAAGTAGCTAAAAGCCAGGAAGTCTTAAATGTGCAACTGATATAACACTGTAATAATGAACTGGGCCTCCAAAAGCTATGTTTTAAAGTGTAGGCTGGTGTCTGGCTTCGGGTAAGGAAAGCCCTGTCACCACTGAGACACCAGGGTGGAATGGCCCCTAAACACCAGTCCTCAGGATGTCAGGACTAACCCCAGCTAGCACCAAAGGAAGGCCGATTCTCCAAAATGACCTAAGACACATACCAAACTCTCATTCCTGCTGCTATTCTTGTGCCCACTGAGAGCCACTGACTGAAGAGCCACTCCTCTGATGAGGAGGAGGGGGCCCGGTTTCCTGGAAATCCATGGGCTGTTGGGATAAATTCACCTCCACCCCTCTTCTTCATTGTGCATCGATCCTGCCTACTAACAGGGAACCTGTCACACTTCCCTGCTTTGGAAAGGATCATCTCCACAGTGCCTTTTCCATTCCAAGAGTCTGTTTTTCTATTTAAAAGCCCTCTGAAATTCAGAGGAAAAATAATCTAGTTCTACTCTCATCCTGGAAAACTGAGTCTTAATTACGGTATATAAGTGGGCATTATTATGTTTTTTTTACTGATGAAGAAATAGGAGCTGAACGAATTCTCATTTCAACTAATTTGGGGAACCTTGATTTTTCTCAAAGGATATAAAATTACTGAGTCGAATTAGTATTACTGTAAATTTACATTAAATACAGAGATGTTACCTTTTTCTTCAAAGCCTCATAGAGACTCAGACTCAACAAAAGGTTAAGTAACGCCCATGGGCACACAGCTAGCTTGAAATGCAGACAGGATTCAAACCTAGCACTGCTTATGCTCTCTCTACTCTACCACAACGAGCCCACATCAGAATGACAGTTCAAAGAAAGGCAGTGACACTGGCTGAATCAAATGGACTTGCTGTCTGCTTTGTTTTAACTTTCACAGGGGTCTTTATTTTGGGGGAACATTCCAATTACACGTGTTGCAAGGTAACATTTGTAATCTTTTTAATATTGGGAAGCATAGACGAGAAATGACTAAATATTTGAGAAAGGGGAAGAGGGAGGAGTATTAGAAATATAGGCAAGTCTCACGTAAATTACAAAAAGTTAAATTATAAAAAGTATACTGTGGTATCCTGCATTGGATCATGGAACAGAAAGAGGACATTAATAAAAACACTGGTGAAATTCACATCAAATCTAAAGTTTGGTTAATAGTAATATAAAAAAGAGAAAAGTTAAGAGCGTAGGGCTAATATTTCCAGAAAAAAAAGTCACAATGCAGATCAGTGTATACTGATGAAGCTTCAGCTTTCAAATGTAAAGTAACAGACACAGAAGTAAAGCAGGTGCATCTAAACCAGGAAAGAGAACATACTTGGCCCTTGCTTCTTCCCACTTTTGTTTTTTCTCATCAAAAGCTTTCTTCATAATTTGGTACCACTTTCTGAAATCAAACCATGGTTTATCTGAAAGAAATAAAATCCAAGATTATTAACCAAATAAATCACACTATAATATACACTGTTCATTTGAGTTTTCATTCATTGACATAGCTAAACATTTATATACTAGCTCTTGGAATCTACGGATGGAGTCATTGTCTCTCTCCTCTAACAGGACTCTCCTGAGAAATCTGTCACTCCCTCCTCTAGGTTCCTACCTATATTGTAGCCCCAATTAAATTATACTGAAATCATCTTCTTACATGTCTGCTTCTCCTAGACTTGACTATTACCTCCTTGAGAACAGAACACATATTTTGTTTGCCACTACAAAGAAGGCCTGCTCCTCCCCTGAAAGCTAACACCTAGCACAGTGCCTGGCACACAGTGGTGTTCCAATATGATGAATATGTGTATTAAGGAAAAAATTATTGATAAATGTGTAAAATGATACTATAGTAGCTGAACCCAGACTTCCAGTTTCATCAGCTCCTATTCCCATTCTTCCTAATTTTAATTCAAAGAATCTAGAAACATGTAAGAAAGTGGACTGCATCAGACAGTTGGTGTGAGTGTGTGATTAAGATGTAGACATCAGAGAGACAACAGAACTGAATGCAGTAAAGTATAAAAACTCACTCCTCACTCTTTCACTCCATATAGGGATTATTTTCCATTATTCTCTGGGAAGGTAGTCTCTTTCCATGTCTAACTCAAAATCTTTTCAACTCGCCAATATAATAATTGTTTAATCCAATATGATCTTGTAGATCATACAGCCACAGAGGAGAGAAAACTACCAAAACAATTATAAGAATAGAGGAAATCTATAGTAATCGATAGAACTCATGGTTCTTTGACCTGGAGTAAGTCACAACTTTTCTAAACCTCAGTCTCCCCATCAACAATGCTAGGGGCAGGGGATGGTGATTAACAGGAAGAGCAGAGAGAAATGACAGTGATCTTCGCCCTGCTGACAGCATGGATTTATTTTGAGGCTTACAAGGGAGACAGGTCAAAGTACTCTGTTTATTCTATATGTCTACGTAGTAAATTATCACCTTTTAGCATTAGCGGGGATATTAGAAGACAGCTAGTTCAACCTTTCACTCCACATAGAAGCCAACATGAGCAACATACAGAAAGTAGTATTTTATTTTGCACATATTCTGGAAAGAACACACAAACTGATTGCTACCAATAAATTCAAGCCTCTAAAACCAATGAACATAAATCCTAATGAGAACATTAAGAAACTGGAATTGAATAATTCACATATTCACCATACTTCACTGAGCTGCTCTTAGGCTAGTCACTATGTTAGGCACTAAAAATACATTAAAAGAAAAAAAGAAAAAAAAGATATGATCCCTCCCTCCAGAAGCTCACACTTCACTTGTCTATCTGTCTATCACTTATAAAGTACTTATTAGATGCCAGATGCTCTTCTAAGCACTTTACAAATATTGGCAATCTAATAGGGACAGATGTACTTAGGCCATTAGTTAGACCTCAAGATACTAAACATCTAGCAGAAGTCTGAACAAGAGTGACTGTGGCAGGGGTTATTAGCTCTGATTTGGGAAGAGGTGAAGCATTGTGAAGTGGATAGGTGTGAAGACCAGACAGAAGAGTGGTGTTTATGCTGCATCTTGAAGCATAAAGAAGGATTTGCCAGGGACTGAACAGGAGTTGGGGTAAGAAGGAAAGAACATTTCAGATAGAGGGACCAACAAGAGCAAAGGCTGAAAGCATCAGAATAGACAGGATGGTCACAAAGCTACCTGTAAATTCATGATCTAGCATGGCTGATGAGTAGAAGTTGGGAATACAAAGCTGGCTGGTCTTACATATAATAGGGACTCACTGGTATTTTTTAGTACCCTAGAGATACAAGTAGGTAATTATATGAAAAAACAATACTGGTACAATATTTAGTTTGTATACATGTGTATGTGCATGTGTATGTGTATATTTTTCAAAGTTGTTTGCCTACATTTATTCCATCTTTTAATCTATCATCTATGACCACTTTGAATTTGAATGATAAAAAATTAAAATACCTTTTTTGTTCTTTTCATTATGTTTTTCAGCAAGATTAGACAAGGACCTGGAGATAACAATAAACAAATCAATTTATTTAGAAGTCATGTATTTGGAAAGATAAATTCTGAATTCTTCTGAGAGAAAAGTATAGAATAGTATTTGAAACTGATACCAAGTTTTTATGGAGAAGCTATCACTGAAACAGAGAATGAGACACTATAAATACTGTCACTCTTCGTTGGCATTTGGGAGGGGCGACATATTAAGATTCCTTTACTTTCTAAAATAATCTTTGAGAACACATATTGCCAGGAGCCTAAAGGGATACAGACAGAGATTTATGAAGATACTTTAAAACTAGGAAATCAGTGGAGCAATGAGGAACGTTGCTACCTAAAGAATAACAGGTATAAAACATGATCAAACAACTGACAACCGGCTGAGTCAAAGTACTGTGTAAGAAGTAATTGTGACTACTAGTCAATGTTCTATAACAATTGAGAGTCTCCATTTTTTGAGATAACATATAATTAGGTAAATACAGTACACATTTTTTCTTTATTTCTTTTTTTAAAGTGTTTTCATGACATTTAAAGCTTTCTTAAAAAACTAAGATCAGCACCATAAAACGTTACTTGTCATAAAATTGACATACACTTACCACTCTAAATTATCATCCAATAGAAAAAGCAGTTTCAATACCACCACAATGATAGCTACAGCTTGTACATCGTACTTAACAGTTTTTGCCATTTTAGCTATAGGATCAAATGTCAGAAAATCCACTTCTCCCATTCCAGTCATTTTCACCACGTGGCAAGTTAAGTTATGCATTTCATCTGAAGAACAAAACAGTAAAATGTAAATTAAATTATCTGGCAACTAGATCATCCCCAATGTATATATCCATAAAAAACCCTTTATCTTAAAACACAACACTATACAAGAACTCAGAGACACACATTCTGTGAATAAAACACCAAAACATGGCATCCGTATAGAAAAATGAATGGTAGAATCTTAAAATGGCGTATCATTCCCTATTCCGACTTCCTAAAACATCTACTATTTCTAGGACACATCCTGGCATCTGGCAGCCACATACCAGTTGTTTCATCCACATCTCTTGTCTATGTTTCTATAGCAGTGTGTGCTCACCTAAAACTAACTCCACTCCCTTATAAGATCAAAAGCTTCTCTAGCAATGTATGTGCACTGGCTGGCATCCTGGCTGGCACACTGGAAGCCCTCAACAAGTGTTTAACTAGATATATTACTTTCCTAAAGAAATTATATCTTAAGCATAGACTACACCTATTACTCAAGACTGAATAACATGGGACTTGGAACCAGAAAACCTATGACCTATATTTAAGCTTTCCACTCATTAGCTTTGTGACTCTTGAATCAGAGTCACTTAGCATCAGTTTCTTCACTTCTAAAATGGGTTATAATGAGAATAAATTGAAGTTATGCTCAAGTGAATAGACTTTGAAAACTCTTAAAGTTACTAAACAAAGAATTTCTGTACTTCCCAATCTAAGTATGTAAGATGTGACCACAGCCTACTCTAATCAATTTCAAGTATGATAGCCATTATTTATAAGAGATAATGAGCTTGTATGGAACTGAACTGAATCTCCTACATGCATTCAGCCACCATGTCCTGTTAATTCCATTCTCTCAAGGTGGCATACAGTACCATGGTTGAGAAGAGACTATGGAACCAAACTGCCTGGACTAGAGTCCCTGCTCCATCACTTACTAGCTCTGTGACCTTGGACATGTTATATAACCTTTCTGTGCCTCAGTTTTTAAACAATCTATCTAAAATAGGAATAAGAATAGTATGTGCTTCATAACGATTGTGAAGACTGAATTAATGAATACACCTAAGGCACTTGGATCAGTGCTGACTGCTTTCCAATCCATCCCCTTTCTTCCCTTCACTGTTGCTCCTTGGGCCACCCTTAGAACTGCTCTCCCTTTCTCTAGTCTTACTCTCCTGTGGCCCAAAGATCGTATTCCCCTGCTCTCATGAACTCACTAAAGCCTTTAGCTCCCAGCCTAATCTCCATAGTTCCCCCAAACAAGCCATATTGTCACTTGCCTCTCTGCTTTGCACAGCTACTTTCGCCCCATTGCCTAGAAAGCCAGTTTCTTTCCCCGCATTCCTCATCTCAGGCTTTGCCTGGCTGAAGCTCACTCATCTTAGAGAACTTGGTTATACCAGTGACTTCCTCTAAGAACAGACATGATACCACAGTCTCCTGTGACTGGCCCTCTTCTGAGTGCTAAAGCAGATCTCCTGGCATGTACCCTTCTACTGCACTCAGTTAAGGGTTTATCTTTCTGTTTCCCTCTTAAACTTGAGGGTGACTCAATCTTGTTTTATTTGTCTTCCTAACTGCTACGACCCACACATAATTGGTACTAATTACATGTTTATGATAAAGAATAAATAAAACACAAAATTAATTTCTTTCTTGAAACATTTAAGTAAAAACAATTTTTGCTGATTAAAAAATGCTTTGTTAACATAGAAACAGAACACATATAACAATGATAATTCAAAATACAGCATCAAAGAATTTTTATGTCTACCAGATTCTGATAGCTTGGCTAAAGTTTTCACTTGGCTTTTATTCTTCCAGCAAACATTTACTGAGCAACTACTGTGTTCTGGGTACTTAAGATACAGACACAGTCCTTTTCCTCAAGTCCTTTTCCTAATGAGAATGGAGTACGGTACAGGCTATGACAAAGATGGGAAGGTGCTTTCAGGAAATGCGAACAGTCCAACAAGGCTTTAGTACTGAATGTGAAGAGGTTGGCAGGGCCAGACAGTACAGGTCTTTGTGAGGCAGAGAATTTGGACTGTTATACTATCAAGATAATTTCAATTTACAGGTTTCACCTGAATTTACTCCCGGGCTTCATTCAGATGCAAAAAGATGAGGAGGTAGAAAATAAAGCTCAATTCAACAAGCATTTACTGAGTGTCTACTAGGTACAAGACACTGTGCATTAATATAATGGAGGAAATTAGAGAAATGAGTGATAGACAGGACTCTTACACTCAAACATGTACACTTCAAACATGGGAAAAAATTAATTTTAAAATACATGCACTAAAATTTTAAACATTATTTATATTGGGTTGTAGAAGCTATAGTCTCTTCTCAGATAATTTAAAAATCAAAACCATATTAGTATTGTTATTCTAAAAAATGACATTTCTTGAAATATTTCTCTTCTTTTAAAATTAATATCTTGGCCAGGTGTGGTGGCTCACACCTGTAATCCCAGCACTTTGGGAGGCCAAGATGGGCAGATCACCTAAGGTCAGGAGATCGAGACCATCCTGGCTAACACAGTGAAACCCCGTCTCTACTAAAGACACAAAAAATTAGCTGAGTGTGGTGGCGGGCGCCTGTAGTCCCAGCTACTCGGGAGGCTGAGGCAGAAGAATGGCGTGAACCAGGAGGCAGAGCATGCAGTGAGCGGACATCACGCCACTGCACTCCAGCCTGGGCGACACAGTGAGACTCCGTCCCGAAAAAAAGAAAATTACAAAAATTAGGTGGGCATGGTGACGGGCGCCTGTAATCCCAGCTACTTGGGAGGCTGAGGCAGGAGAATCACTTGAACCCGGGAGGTGGAGGTTGCAGTGAGTCGAGATCATGCCACTGCACCCCAGCCTGGGTGACAGAGTGAGACTTTGTCTCAAAAAAAAAAAAAAAGAATTAAGATCTTGAACTGCTCCCCTTATGCCAAAAGTACAGACTAACTAAAAAGCAACTGGAAGAAATGATGAGAATGGTAGCAAGGACAGTATAGGGTCTTGGAAGGGAGCAGAGCGTGGGAAGAGCACAGGCCTTGGAAGGGGAAGACTGGGTTGTAGGAATCTACTCTGCCATCTACCAGCTGGGTGTCCCTGAACTGCCCTAAGTCTCATCTGTCAAGGGGAAGCCTGCTTGTCCTCCCTTCCCACTTTCACAAAGGAGAGAATTTATATATGGGCACTTTGGAAACTTCAGAAATTACATACATGAAACAGAAATTACAAGTGATCATGAACACCGTCAGAAACTCTCTCCAGCAGGCTCGTGGGTGACAATGGGAGGAACCATACTAGAGGGTGGAGAGTGCATCTGAGCTCATTGAAGGCCATCAAAGGGGCAGCGCTTACTCAGGCAGGGCGTGTGTGACATACTTGCTGAAACCTTTCCCCGAGCCCCAGAGGCTACCTGGTCACCTTTAAAGGCATTGAGGAGAGGTGGCTATTGCCCCAGCATGTTTAAAACCACTTTTAGCTTTCTGGGAACACTAAACCCTATCTTTGTAAAAGTACCACATACACAGATCTCTTCTTTTTGATCAATGGCACCGCACAACTGATGGCATTACCGAGAGCAATATTTGTAATTACAAACGGCACATTCTGGAAATACTCTTATAATCTTAT